CAAATGGGCTGGCCGCATGGGCGTTTTCGTGTTCTCCCCTCATGTGTAATGTGTATACGAGCCAGTTTCCCTTAGAAAGTCCTCCACGAAGGCATCCCTCCCTTTAGGCAGATAGCCCTCGTGTGCTTTGCCGTAATTAAATAATCCAATCCAATTCAATCCAATCCTTAATTAAATATAATTGATTTGTAAATTCTACTAGAACTGACGGTAAGAATTGAAGTGCAAATAAATAATATGGTGTGCAATCTTGATTAATATAAAATTAAAAATATTTGCATAGAAAAATGTTTGCATTCAGACAGAAAGTTTTTTGAAATATTTGCATTTACTTTATAAGAAGGATTTATTAATAACTGTAATAATTACTTATTATATTACTGATGATTAGGATTCAGTTCTTGACAATTACATTCTAAATTAGAATTTTAAGGATATAATGAAAATATGCTACGCACAAAAATACATTTTAGGACAAAAAAGGAGTTGATTTTTTATGTTTTAAAACTTCTTAAATTCATTTAATAAACATCGTATCCTTGTTGTTAATTGAATCCAGAATGTTGTTGTCGTTTATATAATTAATTATTCTTACTTGTTCACAGAATCTGCTGACTTATCCAGCCATTAAGTAGCTGCAGATCATTTCTACATAACCATTGAACTTCCGTTAATTCAGTCTCTAGAGGGTTGTATGTTTATATCATAATTTGACTTTTATAAAAAATGATTATTCTAAATTTATGTTTCTATAAAAAATATACTGTGCCTTTAAAAAATATGGATGATAGTATCAGCCGCTCTTTCAGCCACTTCAAAAACAACAGTTTGTTTAGAAATAAATTATGCAGTTTAATGTCATAAAATTCAAATAAACATCAAACGAAAATTCTCAGTTTTAAACAGAAGTAAAGTAGCAGACGGTAAAACGCCCAAAGGTAAAATTTACTCTTATTTAAAAAAAAAAAAAAAAAAAAAAAAAACCAAAATATATTCTAATTTAAAAAAAAAAATGCTTTTCATATAGTATTAATAAATATTTATTACACCCCTTGAGGGGGAAAATGTCCTATAATTATTCTCTGTAAAATTTTACTTGAAATTTAAGTTTAAAAATAGCTGTGGCAATTCACTGTAACAAAAATCCATAGACCATTTGGCTTTATTCGCTCAAAAAAAAAGATGCCAAATTTTAAAACGCGAAATATGTAATTCGTGTATATCTTAGAAATTTTGAATAAAAAAATCTAATTTTGCAGATAGCTTAAAAATACACCTACTTTAAGATGATGGTAAAAATTTTATAGGTTATAATTCAAATTTCTTTTCGAAAAATTATAAAAATTATTTAAAAAAGAAATTTAAAAAATAAAACACAAAAATGTAAATTTCGAAATGTGAGAGAAAAAATCAAAAAAGTTTAATAAAAAAAGAGATATTAATAAATATTTGCCACATTCATTAACATTGCGGAACTAAAATTTTGAGAGCTAACATTTTAGAAACTACTCGCACGATTTTTACAAAATTTGGTATTCTGGCATAATTTGAGTCGTAGAATCGAAATATGTAAAAATATTGGTATGTTATTTCAGAAAAAGTCCGCTTTTGTGTCAAAATACCTATGTTAGAATAGTGCTTTATATAAATCTAATATATATCCTAAGTCGCGCTTTCGAGACATGAAGAACGCAATTTGAATTTTGTGAATCGCCCCAGTAGAACGAGAGATATATCACTGTCCCTCTTTTTTTTTTTTTTTTTTTTTTTTAAAGCGGTGTACATGTCTGAATTGCAAATTAACAGTCTTATTGCTTTGATCACCCTTTCCCCATTTTTTCCATACGCTGCTGGCCCTCGGCAACCAAGTCGTTTCTGTTAGTGGCCCTACTGCTAAAAAGGTTGTTACTGTTGAGGATGACATTAATATATATATATATATATATGTGGTAGACTGGAGGAGTATTGCCATGAATAGGTCCAGATGGCTTAAACTGATCAAGACGGTCTTGACCAGCTGTCAGTCCTTTGTAATCATGAATTGCGGAATCACCTTAGTCTTTGATTTTAACATCCGTATTTTCTTTTGTATTGCAGAAGACAGTCCATTCCATGTGACTTTATCTTTTTTTTCTCCCTTCCCTGGGTCATACTGTAAGTACTAGGTCTCAGCTTGTGCTATGATATGCTTTAAGAAATTGTTTTTCTGTTTTGTGCAGTGGTCAGCAAATCTTCACAGCAAGCTTTTCTATTTTCTTTTTGCTGTTGTGTCAATATCAAAAAATCAATCTGTCAGGCACACACTTTCCTCATTTTCAGATTTTCAATTAAAATTAACGTACAAATTTCTTTGCTTATCCCAAGCATGTCTGAAAGTTACTAAAATGTTATATGACTGTCAGCTTTTATTAAGGAATGAATTTTCTCTAAATTTCTCTCATTCTTTGAAATTGAAGAGTAATCAAGTTAAGTTAAACTTAATCTTTGTTTAAGTAGCAAATTTACCTAATTTGTAACAAAATTTAAAGTTATAATGTTGTTCCATTCTGAAGCAAATTTTTTTGTACATTTTCTCAGTAAATGAAAACAACTGTGGCGTTTTGATATGCGAATAACAAGTAACCAGTTTTAAGTAACTTTGACACAAGAGCTGATATTTAACTCTTTCTAAACATGCATTTATTCTTTCACTCTTTTATTTTATCCTTTGGTCTTTTAATTTGCCTGGTCATTTTATCGGCACGCGTTGTATAACTATATCTAGCTTTTGCACACCTTTTCACTAAGGAGTCCATTTGTACTGCATCTTTATAAATCTAATATCCAGAGTGTCATAAAATTAATTTGAAGCAGCAACTCTGACTGAGAATTATTTTTCATTAATTTTGTTATAAAATGAATTAGTCCCCAGGAACTATTTTAACAATAAAAAAATTGTAACATATCACTGTTTTTAAAAAAATCAGTAACAGATTTCTGTTTGTACTGCATCGTTGCCTTGCCTGTATTGGGTAGACGTCATAATATTGGCTGGTAGCATGTTGTCTTGCTGTTCATATACAGCAGTGCCTTTTCTATTGTGCTCAAGTCATCTATGTAACTGATCTTGGTTTAAGCAATTCCCACGTCTTCGTCGTTAGAGCTTTCATTCTGTATGACTAATAAAAGGGTCTCATCAGACAGTTCAAATTGTTCACCATCTTTCATTCAATTATTCACATCTTCATTCGTTACTGCCTCTGTAACTTGTAGCTGGTTTTAGATAGCCACTGATTCTTCTTCGTTTGCTTCCTGACTTTGCGTCATTGTCATACAGTAAAATATCATTCCAGCTTTTCAGAATGGGAGATTTTCATGTCATTCCACTATTCTCCCAGCCAGTAAATGTCATATTTCAGCTTAATCCGTTTTAGCCTTTCAACATTTTTTTTTTTTTTTTTTTTTTTAAGAAATCTTTTAATAAATGTTTCAAGAGCTTGCATCCATTTTAGGTTTTCTAAAATGCTTTTGTCCAAATGCTGAATCCGCTGTAACCTTAAAAAAAAAATAGCCCAGATCTTTCCACTAACCAACTGGCATTCATCAGGATGACTGAGAGCATTCCTCAAAATTAAGATTGTGTTATGGTGTAGAGACATTAGGTATTTTGAGAAAGCCAGAGAGATGAAAAATTAGCAACGCCTTTGCCAGGAATCGAACCACGGACATCTGGAATACCGGCCCAACGTGCAGAACCACTACACCACGAAGCCACGCTAGGAAAGTGGGAGAAATATCTTATAATGGGCAAATAATTTTCATCCAAAAATTGCTGAATGTGTAATTCAAACTCTTTGTAGAACAATAGTTTGAATATTGTTGAATCCATTCAAATACCTTTTTGGTTTGTGTACTTTATAGGGAGATTTTTAACATTCATATTTTTAAACACCTTTGATTTTTTTTACTGTTCCTATAAGTAAAAGCTTAAGCTTCTTATATGCTAAAACTGTCACCTTTCCTTTACTTCACTGGTAGCCAGAAACTAACTGTTAAATTTTTTTACACTAGCATCTTTCTTGACTTTTGAAATTCAGACCCACTTCATAACAGCTATAAATTTTCTGTGATCTCAGTTTGCTTTCTTGAATATTCAACTTGTTAATAAAGAAAGTCACTGCACTTGAGTTAGCTGACAAAATCTCACCTGCAATGTTTAATTGTCACATGCCATACCATTTATTGCAAGGATCAAGCCAACTTGAGCTGGTGGTCAATTCCTCTTCACCGTCTTTACAAAGCTGGGAAAAGTCCAAAGCCTTAGCTTATAATATCGTACCAGATAGTGGACTTCCCTTCTCTCTCATCTGCTGAAATCAATAAAAACAATGCTTTTGGTGCCTGTTCATAATCACTATCTTTCATTATTTTTCTTGTCTTTGTGGCATCATTTCCAGGTACGTATATATGCTGAGTTGTCAGTTTTGTAGTTTCCTCCCTCTTCCTGCTACTATCACCAACTGTCACTTCGTCAATACCCAATCCACTAGCCACTTTTTAATTATTTCACCATGATCTAGTCTGTTAATAGTAGTAAATATTTCTTCTAGTGATGAAAACCACACGTTTCCTTTTACCAGTCATTATTCAACAAGCAGCCCCTAATGTCTCGTACTGCTTTGCTGTTGCACAACTAGCCACATACTTTAGCTCCAATGCAAAAACTAAAAACCAACTGATTTTTTACTCAAAGTGTGCATGAATCGAGACTAAGCTCAAAGGGGGTAACAATAGTGTTCGTATCTTCACTGTCTGAGTTATTGGTAAAAACCCATGTCTATAGATTGTTTAAATTCTGAGTGAGGCTATTTCAATGACTTTTTCTTATTTATTGCATTGGGTTCAGATAACATGGAACTTTGGGTTAAGCAAAACTTGGATAATTCGAATTCTTTCAAACAGGTACTTTACAAAACTGTAGTTATCATAAATCTTACATTGGTTATTGACTTTCTTCGCAGCCACATATTTCTCGACTATTTGGGAAAAAAGATAGCACACCAGCAAATCCTGGGCAATACAGAGATGTCGAGAAACTACTCGAAACAGAAAAAAGCAGGTGTCGCAGACTTCAAGATCAGTTGAGTCAAGCACGTGCTGAGAATATGGCTTTACAGAGAGAAAGTAAGTCATATTTTCATGGATCTGAGCATAATGTAATAATGCAAAGTTTATAATGTAAGTATCTTGTTTAAGAATGTAAATACGATAGAAGTCTAGAAATCCGCAGAGCTTGGGACCAGAGGTTGTGCAGATTTTAGGACAGGAAAGATAAATTCTAATATTCAGACTAAAAGTGCAAAATAAATAAGGCATATTAGATACATTTAATTAAATTATTATATACATTATTGCAATAACTTATTATATGCGTTAAATTATTATTACATATATAAATTCATTATATTATTCATTGTATTACAGCATCGAGATTTGCCGATTTTGCCTCATGCAAAGATTTATGGTTTTGGATTTATGGTGTTAGAATCACTGTTGCTGTAAAATTTCAACAGCTTTTCTTTATTTTTCCTTATATCATACACAATCGTGTCACAATTCCATATGATTCTACTGCAAACCGAGGAGTAGCACCTGTTTCCATCTTTTGCAGAATTTGCACTTTTTGCATTATCGTCAATGCAACGTGTTTACGATTTTCAACGTTGCAAGCAGTAAAATCCTGAGTGCATTTCTTATCTGTAATTGTATTAAAAAGGGCTGAAATTAAAAATATTTTTAATTTATCCACGAAATATCCGGATAAAAAAAAGGCAGCACTAAATAATTTCGTGAAATAACAAAGCTCAGAAAATACAACAACGTGAATCGTGAACTTAAAAGAAGAGTGAATCATCTGCTTTTTTACCTCGATGCAGATTAGAGGTGGAAAAAATTTTATCATGATGTCAATAATTTAGTATTTCTGTTTGACTCATTATTATTTGGTGATTATGACGTCATTATTCGGTAATTACTTTTTATTCGATATTTTGTACTCAATGTTGCGGTTTCTGGAACCTATGGTTTTGTCGCATTAAAATTTCCATCAGACGTTACTTTACAAATAATTTTTGTTAATCTGAATATGATACAATCATTCATAAATTTTTCGTAGTAGCTTTTTAGGGATTTGTAATTGAAGTTATGCCTCCATATTTGTTGTTTCCATATCCATTGTTTACTACTCCCCAAGCAAACAAACTCTGTATAACCTATCATTCAAATTAGAATAATTCTAATACATTATTAGTAAACATATCAAAAAGTTTTGAGTAATACAAAATGGTAATCTCTAAAGATTTTTATCTTTATTTTAAAAATTAAAAGTTAACAATTTGGAAATTAAAAAAAGTTTTTTTCACTGTAACTGAAACTAGCAATGTGATATAAATTAATTAGTTGAATGAACAAATTCTCTCAATTATGTACATTTCCTTCATATTCTCTGCCCCTTCTTTAAATTTGCTTTTAGGTCTTTAAATTCAGTTTAAATTTTTGTCTGTAAGTTTTATTTTGTGTATCTTCAAAATTAATATTTTATATATGTTTTTTTATGTTCTTGCAATAGGTGATTTACTGGACAATATCTATGACAGGTGCTTTACCCTGTATTTATTTGCATTTGGTTATGAGTGCAAATCGGGATTTGTCCCTGACTGACTCCCTCTGTGGTCTTGCTTACATCAGGATGATTCACTACATTCTCAAAATTACCCCACACCTTAAGCAAAAGAGATTGGTAAATGAGTATGAATTGTGAAACACGTTTAAAAAAATGATTCTCTTTCTTAGTATAAGACTGGTTTATTGCTTGCTTACTTTATTTGTTATAAAGTGTAAAATATTTTGCAGAATCGTAAAAACCCTACGTTTAACACGTTGCCTGCATATTTCTACTCTTTTCCACGAAAGCTTTTTTACTGCTTCAGTCATATGTCTGCTCTCAGCCATCACAGCAAAAAAACATACTAATCTTAGATTAAGTTGACAAGCTTCATAATCTAGCATATTTTGTGTTACTGTTCGTTCAATGAAAATTGATTCCAACAAGATGATACCTATACATAAATTTAATATGGCCACAGGGGTTGGTAGTAGAAGTTTATTAATAATTTAAGATGAATAGAGCTTTAGTTTTCATTTTGTCTATTCTAAAACATTGCATTTTAATGACAGAAGTTTAATAGTTGTTCAAAAAATAATAAAGCCCTAAACTTTCATTTCTATTTATTCTAAAGCATAGCATTTTAATTGTAAAGTGTTGAGAATAATGTATCAAAAAAGAGTACAGCCTTAGATCGTGTCTGTTTTACCAAGGGATATAATAGGTCCTTTCTAGGATTACATCAATACATTTTTCTGGTAATGTTGTAGAATTTAATGTAGTAATCCACTAATGTAATAAAAGTAACTAATCTTTGTATTTTATTTGTATATTGCTGCTTTTTGTCTGGTTTAGTACAGTAATTTTTGTTTGTTTTGACCATAGTTCTCTGGCAGTAGGTCACCTGTTGTGAGACTACCTATTTTTTATATATTTATATATCTAATCTATATTTCTTATATAAAAAATATAGAGGCAATGTGTGATTAAAGGAAATCAAATGAGAAATAATGCATTATTTTGAATAACTGAAAACTGATATATCGTGGGTATCTTGTTTTGTTATTTACTAATGTGACATATCTCTTTGCTAATTTTTAAATATCTTTCTCAGTTAGCAACCTCATGAAGACAGCAGCTTCCAATAGTGAAATTCCTCTTTCTCCTATGTCCCGAGCGGTGCATTCTGCATTGACTTTTTCTCCAAACTACTCTCCTAATTCAGTAGATAGTCCTGTTCTGTTATCCCAAGAACTGGCCAGTAAGTTTACAAAACCTCCTGGTATGAAGCATAAAATTCCCCACAGATTTAATGAAACAACATGCATGAGAAGCATTAAGTGTTGTGCTTGCTTGGATTCTGTGCATTTTGGTCGACCTGTAGCAAAATGTAGAGGTAAGTACTTTAAAATACCATTTTTAGTCATATATTCCCCCCTTTTTACTAATTTTATCATACGAAAATCAAGAGGGAAAAATTATCCAAATATAATTTCCAAAGGATGTGGTTGTAAGTTCAGATAACACTGTTGATTACCACTTGCATTCCTCCTTTCTGTTGCTGCCTGTTAGTAGGTTTATGATTGTATCCTACTGTATAAAGCTAATTTTTTTGCTTTACCTCATTGTAAGCTAAACTTTCAATCCATTCTGTATACCAGTGGTTTCCAACCTGTGGGGCGCGAGACTGTTGCAAGGGGGGCATGCAGCTGTTTCCAAAATATCATTTTCGAATACAAACCAAAAAAGTCGAATAGATGTCAAAAAAATGAATCAGCAGTATACGTAATCCACAATCCTCGCCGTGAATTTTTTGGGTACAAATGCTAAAACATCCCATCTGTTACAACTTGACTCTGAACTCCCAACGCCATCTAGCAAACTTTAGAATTAATTCCTAAGTAAAAAACTTTGGACTCGATTTGCGTAGGAGGAGACAGTCGGACTGCTACGCAGTAGAAGAATTGGAACCGCTTTGTATCTGAAAGCGCGTTTAATTATCATGGATGTTAAGTGTAAATCAATTATGACTGTATATATGTATATAATAATAATAATAATTTTATTGTAATCTCTATAGAAGGATGTGCCTTAAATTTAGTTTACAGTTTTGACGATCTTCATGTCGATGGAATACTCGCCGCCCGGATTCGAAAAGGTAAGAGATATTTTGACCTTTATTCATTTGAACTTTGTTGTTACACCATCCATACTCTTCTTGGAACGAAATATCTCGCTTTCATGTTTGGAGCCGAGCACCGGTGGGGCGTGGAATCAAATGATAAGCACTCGCAACATCCCGGGTATTCTCGTGCTTACTCGCGCCAAACTTCAGTAAACAGAAGCATCTGATTGTTTCTGCTTTCTATGAACAGAATTAGTTCGTTAGTAGTGCTTGCGATAACCACGTTGATATATAGAATGAAACACTTCGCTTTGGTAACTTCTAAATAAATTAACATTGAGGTAAATTTCATAACTGTTATAATAGTACCTTATTAACCAGGAAATGTTAATTTAATGTTGAGGTAGTTTTTCGGCACGAGCGCGAAGTGCCAGGGTTATAAACATCCGAAACAATAAAATAACATCCTGACCGATGTTAATATACTATTTTTTCACTACTAGCGCTTTTTTACTTTCTCGTAAATTTACCAGTAACCGTTTTAATTGAGTAATATGAATATTGTTATTGGAAAAATTCACGTTTATGTAAGAAGAGCGCAAGTTATTTTTATGTTGTTTATATTTCAGCAATTAATTTTGACAAAAAATTAAAAGAAAATATTGATATAATTGTATTGTATTTTAAATTAATATAAAGTTATTGATTTAAAATAATACCCCTTTTAGATGGATAAATACGTAACTGGCTTGAAAAGAAAATTAAATGAAGCAGAAGCAGAGGGCAAAAGAAAAGATGATGAAATTATCGGAAATACATCTTCGCAAAATAGTAAACCTAAATATAGAAAATATGATCCAATGTACTTATCATTAGGATTTACATATAAGGTTATTAATGGCCAAGAACGACCATTGTGTTTGCTGTGTATGAATACTTTGGCCTCAGACAGCATGAAACCAAATAAATTAAAACGACATCTTGAAAAAGTACATGCAGATCACGTTGGCAAGACAAGAGAATTTTTCCAAAGAAAATTAGAGAGTTTAAATAAACAACAAGAAATGTTTTCAAAGACCATGTCTGTTACACAAAAAGCATTGCTTGCATCATATAAAGTTTCTTATAGAATTGCTAAATGCAAAAAACCCCATTCAATAGGAGAAACTTTGGTGCTACTTGCAGCTATTGACATGATAGAAACGATGCTCGGTGAATCATATGCTGATCAACTTAAAATCATTCTACTTGCAGATAATACGGTGGGAAGACGACTATCCGATATATCTGAAGATCTTTGCGATCAATTAATAGAAAAAGTAAAACTATCTTCTTTCGCGTTGCAAGTAGATGAGGCTACCGATGTTCTTAAAGATGCACACTTGATAACGTATGTAAGATATGTTGTGGAAACTGATGTTAGAGAAGACATGTTATTCTGTAAACCTATTGAATGCAATACTACAGCAAGGGAAGTTTTTAAAATCATTGATAATTTTTTTAATGAAAATGGCATTCTGTGGGAGAACTGTGTTGTACTATGCACAGATGGAGCTCCATCTATGGCAGGAAAAAATGCTGGTCTACAGGCACTAGTTCGAAAGGTGGCTCCTCGTGCAGTTTGGACGCATTGCATGATTCATAGACAATCACTTGTTTCAAGAGATATGAGTGAAGATCTACTAACAGTATTTGAAGTTATTACAAGAGTTGTAAATTTTATCAAAAATAGCCCATTAAGAGGAAGGTTTTTCACAAAATTGTGTGATGACATGGGTTCAGAATATAGATCACTTCTATACTATTTTGAGGCACGTTGGCTTTTTCGTGCCAAAGTACTTCAAAGGGTGTTGAGCTAAGAGATCGCCATATTTCTTAGTGATAATAATAGAGATGAAGCACACTTGTTTTATGACATGAAATTCCTTGTAAAACTTGCGTATTTTGTTGATGTTTTTCAAAGACTCAGTATTTTAAATAAATCAATGCAAGGGGCTCAAATTCATGCTTTTACGCAGAAAGACAAGATTACTGCATTTATGAAAAAATTAAAACTGTGGATAATAAGTTTGAAAAATAATAACTTTGACATGTTTCCCACTTTTAAAATTACCTGTCTTGCTGATGAAATAGAAGAAAGTAAAGTTTTTTATTAATAATCATTTGACCAGTCTATGGAAGCAATTCTCGTTGTACTTTAAAGATCTTGACATGTCCAAATGTGAATGGATTTAGAAACCCATTTGTGATTGAAAAATATGATGATTTTGGCCTTACGACAGCAGAGCAGGAAATGATAGTTGACTTATCTAGTGATAGCACATTAAGCAGATGTTTTGAGATGAAAATAATATCATTACGTTTTGGCTATGAGTAAAGCACGATTTTCCTAATTTGACAAACAAAGCTTTAGAAATTTTTTTGCCATTTGTAACATCTTACCTATGTGAAACTGGTTTTTCTGCAGTAGCTGTCTTAAAAACAAAGTATCGATCTTGCTTAATGATTGAAAAGGAACTGAGAACTGCGATTTCTTCAATGATACCACGGTTTGAGAAAATTTGAGCTGAAAAAACAAGCTCAACCGTCGCATTAAATTTTTATGTTGTAGTAGTATTAATTATATATTCTTTTTTGTTTTGTTATTATATTTCTTATAATAAATGTATTATATTTTTACATAATATTGTATATTATTTTGTAGCCCATTAAATAAATTATAATATCAGTTGAGTATTTATGAAATTTGATTTTAAGATAAATTAACGGGACGCAACAATTTGTTTTTTAAAGGGGGGCGCACCAATTTTTTTTTAAAAAAAAAGGGGGGCGCGGGTACAAAAGGTTGGAAACCACTGCTGTATAGAGGTCCTTGTTTTAAATCCATGCGTATAAGGACTGTGTCTGTGCAAGTGGCCACCCAGATGATATAGTGGCTAGGGATGCTGACTGCCATACCGATGGGGCAGTGTTCGAATCTCAAAGACGTCATGGATGTTTGTAAGCATATAGTGTCTTAAGCGGCAAGGGGGCACTCAAAATACATGGTTATCTGAAAATCCTCTTGAGAGGTTGATGGTAGGAAAAGAGGGGGCAAGAGACCCTCAGTCTGCCCTCCTGGGGTGTTCTTTTTCAAAATGGAGCAGGACTATATATGTATGATCAGAGGTAAAATTCTGATGTCCATGCATTTCTATCTGTACCTATGTGTGCAAGTGAAAATGTCAAAGGAGAAGTAATAGTAAATTAACATGACAATAGAAATGAAACTGGATGCCTTCAGAGAGAGAGAAATATTAATAAAATTGCCGTGGATATAAAATATTGATAATATAAAATCTATACAAAATATTGAGTTGTGAATAACTCAGCTGAGCAATAAAGTCGCCAATAATGGTACAACCGATGTCAAACGGAACATCCTCGCTGGTAGCCTTTAACGCCTCATTTTCAAAACAAGTTGCAGCCATTTCTTCTCAGATTGATTGTTTCTTTCAGTACTGGCATACAACTACATAGAATTTTTACCAGATAGTTCAATTTTATGTCCTAAGGGAATTCAAGGTAATTAAGTCAATTAGAATGCAATTACACCGCTCGCCCGAAGGCGAAAATATAGAAAAGGCAAAGTTATAGATTCAATTCTAATAAAGTCAATTCATCGATTCTAATAAGAATGCACTAGGGAAGTAAAGCACTGGGGTTTTACATAATTTCTGAGTAAGCTATTCGTATGAATTGAAATAATTGTTGCATTTAAACTTGTATTACAAACTAAGATTTAATTTGAAATTAATGTAGATAATTACCGAGAGAATTAGATTTTTGTAGCGTAGTTTACGTGATGGGGTCACGTGACATGAACCGGTGAATCAGGATGTTGAACATGAAAGCATAGTAAATTCTTAAATTAATGCCTTTTTACAAATTTATTTTCTTTATTTATTGGCTTTTTACAAAATTTTAAATGATATTAAAATGTTTATGCCCTCAAAAATAAAAAATTCTTAAAACTAACATTTGTTAAAAATTTTTTATGTGTATACTGTTTGTTGTCGCCAATAAAGTCTGTTTGGCGAGATTTGCACTGGCGAAACTGAAAAGTACCACTCAACTTTTTTCTTTTCTTTTTTTTTTTTTTCCCCTGTAAAACTGTACATTTTTGGCAATTCAACATCCTCTCAGTTGGTGTTAGGTCAAATTTATGGGACTCTATCATAATGAAGAATGTTGTTTTAATCCATGCCAATACAAAATATATTAAAACAATTGTGCTGCATATTAGAGTTATTTCCATGTTTTCAGAAAATTTAAAAAACCTCATCTGATGACTCTAACATTTTTAGCACATAAGTTTTCTTCCATAGAAAGCTAATATATATATATTTTTTATTCCTGGAACACATTCTTCATTGGAGCCTATATTCTGCAAAATTTGTAACTTTTTTTTCAGCTGAGCTGAGACCTTCCATCAAGCTTGTGCTTATTATTAGCTATATTATCAAGTGCTGTTCTAATGAATTTGGTTTTGAGGTGTTACCTGTTCAGTAGGATTTGTTTAAGATCTCTATAAACTCATTGATTGTCATTTCTTTGCTATTCGAGTCGAGCATCTCACTGACATCATTGCTTTTGATTTCCTAATCCAGTTGCTTGTAAGAATGACAACCACTGTTACAGAGTAACTTGATTAGTTTCTGACATCATTTTGTCTAGTTTTTGAAAAAGATAGAAAAAATTTGCTTTTGGATAATATTTTAAGTTTTTCAAGAAACTTCTACGGAAGATTCTCCAATGATTTTTATGGCATTAATTGTGTAGGAAACTTGAGGGGAAGTAATGGAACCACCTAACTTTGAGTTCATGTCAGTTTAACTTTTAACTGTTAATATCTTTAAAATTTAACTAAGTGGGTAAAATTTCATAAAAAATATATACTTTCTGAGTCATGGACTTAAATTTCTTAGGCAGAAAAATCTGATAAATTCGAACTTTATAAGTAGGAAACATTAGTATCTGGTTTCTGAGATTTAGTTTGTAACTTAAAAATCAGATTTCTTTTTCAAAAAAACTCAATAAATTGGAATTTAACTAGTTTAAGCTTTAGCGTATGGTTATTTTGTGATTTTAAACATCTCACTTCTTAAGGAAGGAAACTTAATCAGAACTCTTATAGTTCAGCAGCGTTAGTGTATGTTTTTTAGATTTATTTTAGAACTTTTAAAATCAGATTTTTTAGAGGGGAAAGCTTACCAGGTTCTCCTCTATTTCTTTTATTCTACTAGCTGTTCCTATATTCAGTTAGAATCTTTTTCTCTTTGATGAGAGTATTCTCATTATTTTCTCCTCCTTTGCAGAGTGTTCAATTATGTGTCATCCCAAATGTGCTTCTTCATTACCAAATACATGTGGCTTGCCTTCTGGATTTATACAACACTTCAGATCTACGATTGGCGATTCTTCATCTGAAAACACTTTGGATGAATCAGAAAATAAAATATCTGAAGGTTGGGTTAAGATGCCAAAGTAAGAAATGTTATTTTTTTAAATGGTTAAAGAATTTAATAAAAAATTTTATAAATTTAATTGGTTTTGTGGATCATATTTTAATCTGTATATTGAAGAAGGGTATTTTTAATTTGTTATGTTTGTATTTGCACTTTTTATTTCATACAGATTAAGTTTAATAAATATTGGGAATCAGAACTTTTGTGATATCATTCTATACAAACTTAAGTCTTCATTAATTTAATAATTTTTTACATTTATAATTAAATGCTTAGTATATTGTTTTAATTTTATTTACATAGATTAAAAAATAGGCATATAATTTTTTTGGTTGTTGTTGTTGTTAATTAGAAGAAATTTTCATTTTATTTAGCTAAGAAAAACGTATATGTATTCAGTTTAAATTAAATTAAGATTTCTTAGTTGATTTAAGTAAAAATCTGGCAATACCATAAACTTATGTAAAATAATAAAAAAATATCTTTTCACATTACTTTCAAGTTAAAAACAGATATATTAAAAATGGTCCAAATTTTACATGACTAGAAAATTTGTTGAAAAATTTAATTTTCTTTCAAATAATTTTTGTAAAACTTAACCTATGTTGATTATTTACTTAATAACTTTTAACAAATATAGATGCTGGGAGAATGACTTTTCAAAAGTTTGTTTTATTTGTGATTTTTTACCATTTTAGCAGTTTCATTTATTATTGTGCTGGTACAGAAAAAGTATAAATCTAAGAAATTAAAATTCATAAATATGTACTTAATTATTTTCTATTTTATTGCTATTCCCATATGTGCAAACTTTGTATGAAAGTATGTTTGCATAAGAGTTTCTGTATTAACTCCTTCATGCTGGGTATATCATATATGCATCAGTACTTAATCCTGTTATGTGATGGTATGCCACTCAGCACAACGCACCTTGGAGATGGTGTGTTGTTGCAGTAGTACGATCACAAGATGGGGTATTTTAGATTGCTATACCTAACTTAAAATATATATATATATAATGTTTTTTGATCGATTGTTTTGATTTTTTCTGTCATAGTATCTAATAGTAATATTATTATAAATACAGAATATCAAGAGATTTTGAAAAAAAAAAAAAATAATAATAATAATAATTAAAATCTAAATGCAAAATAAAATATTTGACTTGTTTTAATGAAATGTTGTAAAAAACTTAATAATTCTTAATGATCCAGAAAGGAGGCAATGTGTGATAATCTAGTTGCTATAATTTCATTAGTATTGAAACACATTTGCAGGTCAAACTTTTTAATTATTTCCCACAAAATAATTAATTCTAGGAATCCCTTCATTTTAGGCACATCTACAGGAGTATGTAGACTTTAGATGAAGAAAGATTTTCACTCATTTATTTGTTCATAGAAATTATTAGTTTCTTCATTTATTATGTTCATTAGATTATCAAAAAAACGTGGTGAAAAAATCAGTTTCATCCAAATAACTTTGAATTAAGTTTACTTCTGCATTTCCCCTAAGTTCATAAGGCTTCAATTACTTAACCGATCCAAATTCATGATGGAGTAGTTACTGTTCTGCTGGATTGTGAGGTGAAAGCAAAACAAACTTCCAATTCAGTCTCTGGCAAAATTTCGGTATCAAAATCGCTATACTCATTAAATCTAGAGTCTTCGGTGTCAAAATAGTGATTCATGGGCTCGAATGGACACTTAATAGGCTTTGCAATTCGAATATACTCTTCTTCCATTAAGAACTTTTTCCTCTTATACATCGCACTATTTTTATTTATTTTACAAATGCCAAACATTGGCACATAAGGCATTAATTTATGGGCTCTCCAGTACTTTTTAACAATGTCCTCATACCGAGAAAGGGCAATACAATTTTTAAATGCTCAAAAATCATAGGCTGATTGGAGTCACACAAAATGCAGTTTGAAGAATCCAATTCTGTAGAGGTGGTCTCACAAACAGTCATGTCTGGTCAGACATCTAAATAGAGCTACTGCTGTCTTTTTTGGAAGATTGGGAATGAAAGTTGTCTGTTTCTCCAGAATCCTTCATCTCTTATCCATAGCATGTTGAATCATATCTTGCTAAAGAATTTTCTTAAGAGTCAGGTTAACAAACAATTTAGTTGAATGAAAAGAAAGCGGTTGATTAATGCATTGCATTACCAAAATTCCTTTCTTAGCCAATGTATCAGCTTTTCTGTTTCCCATAATTCCACAGTGAGCTGGAATCCATTGGAAAGAAATACTGTGTGCCATTACCTTAAACAAAGTCCTACAGTCTAAGATTCTTTGGGAACTATATTGATTATTCAGAAGGACTTGAAGCGCACTTTTGGAATCTGACAATATGACTGCCTTTACAAAGGAGTAGCTATAAATCAACAGTTGTGACATTGCACTATTAGTTTAACTCTCTTAACTGGTACAAAAAAAAAAAAAAAAAAAAAAAAAAAAAAAAAAACTTATGTTTGCTATTTAAAGAAGATGGAAACTGAATACAAACTGGAGTTCCTAACCACAGCTTCGTTCCTGATCTTCTCATAGGAAAACAAAAACAAATTTGAAGCATTGGAAAGTGTTCAATGTTTATATCAGCTGTCGTCAATCCTTAGAGCTTCACGGACCACTACATATATAATTTTATATTTGGCGGACCACTAATATGAATTCAAAAAAAGGTAAATACATTTATACAATAATAATCAGCAAACTACACATATTTCGTTCACATTGAAAAATTACATGAAAAGTACAAAAGTCTTGCCTTCTTGTACAGAAAGCTTCACATTTCCATATCACTGAAAAGGAACTTCACGAAAAGCAAGAACAAACCGGCAAACGCAAAGCAATATCAATAAACTGATAGTGTTATGCCGCAAATGTTTAATTATTGTAAACAAAATAATCATCGTTTACTCAGCAATAGTGCCATCGATCAACAGTTAGACAAAACAAAAGCGGAAACTTCTAGTGATGCAATTATAAACAGGAATGCAGATGGTTCTTGTAAAAATCCATCAAGTTGCCTATTGACACAGAGAAAAACTGTGTCATTAATGACTACAATAGCATATGTTTGTAATTCAAAAGGAAAGAGGATTCCAGTTCGTGCTATTATTGATAACAGAGGTGTAGTATCTGATTTCGAGAGTATCAGTACTCTTATACCCGAGAACCTCTGTGAACGAGAGTAGAGTAGAATGTAATGTAGCTGCATAAATAGCACATCGCTGCTGTCTTATGAGTTAGTTAGAAATAAATGTTTGTGCCGTGAACTAGTCTGTTTTGTTTGCATCATGCACTTCACTGAACCCACACCGCTAGACACAACAAGTTGGCGATGAGGCTGTGTGAGAAGAAAATCGTTCCCGACTCGGCGCACTCGGTTACATGCGTGACGTAGTGGCAAAACCGAAACTTGGATTTAGGGTATTCCCCAAAAACTGAAAAAGGTAGAAAAGTTATTTGATTTTTATTTTGAAAGGATAAAGAAGTTAATTGAAGAATTAATAAAGCAAAATGAAGCTTTAATGGTCGCATTGCAAGAGAAATCGGGACATAAACAAGACAAATTTCTGTTTCTTTTTTTGATAAGTTCGATGAAACGTAGAAAATTTTGATTCGTTCATAGAACGATTTGAGGCTTTTTTGGACATTCAAAATGTTCCAGAGGCAAAACGTGGGAAAGTTCTGATCTCAAGCTTGAATGCGAAATTGTATAATTTTGTTGAAAAATTTACTCTGTCTCCGATAATCCTTCAGATAAAAATTTTTACTGAAATAAAAAAGTTTCTTAAGGATCATTTAAATCCTAAAGCTTTAATAATACCTAGTCGGCACATGTTTATTAATAGAAAACAGCATGAGGGGGAATCAATTAGTAGTTATGTCACAGAATTACGCTTGTTAGTGATTCCTTAGTGAATATAAAGAGGATATGCTGAATACCATGTTAAGGGATGTTTTCGTTAGCGGTCTACGAGATCGTAATATCTTAGATCGATTATTTCAGGAAGATGATATCGATTTAGAGAAAACATTAAAGATAGCCTTGGCGATGGAAAAGGCGGTTAAGGGTGCAAATGAGATTATAGGAAATTCCGTAGAACTGAAGGTACTTAAAACCAAGAAAAATGAGTCCAAACCGCGGAAACAAAACTTTGTTGCTAAGAATAATAAGGGTAAAAATGAAACTTGTTCGCGTTGCTTAGGAGCAAATCACAATAAAAACAACTGTAGATTTGCAACAAGTGAATGCCGCTTTTGTAAAAAAATTGGACATATCGAAAAGGCGTGTTATTTGTCTAGGAAAAATGAGGTCCCCATCTATGGATTTAACTCCAGAACGCACATGTTAAGAGAGGAAGAGCCGAAAAGACCGCCAATAATTGTTCAAGTTAAAATTGAAAACAAGCCAGTTAGCATGGAACTTGATACTGGGGGAACAGTTTCAGTAATGTCGATAAGTAAATTTAGAAAAATTTCCAATAAAAAGATTCAGCCTACAAATTTAGTTTTTAAAACTTACAGGGGTGATAAGGTGGTACCTTTAGGATATGTTCCTGTTAAAGTTGAATACCAAGGTCAAAAATTGCTTTTAAATCTGTACATTGTAAAGGAAAATTTGGACACAATCTTCAGCCAAGAATGGCTGTATCAAATCAATCTCGATTGGAATTCCATCAAAACATTGAAAACACACAATCTTCGGCCGAGAATGGCTGTATCAAATCAATCTCGATTGGAATTCCATCAAAACATTGAAAACTTCTAGTGAATTGAATTTAAAAAAATTGCTTGAGGAAGTATAAGGAAATTTTTGATGGTAAATTAGGTGAAATTAACAATCACGAAGTAAAACTAAATTTGAAACCTAATACTCAACCAATATTTTGTAGGTCACGACCGGTACCTTTCGCATTAAAAAATAGAGTTGAATCAGAAATTGATCGGCTTGAGAAAGAAGGTATCATTGAGAGGGTTGAGACTTCAGAATGGGCAACACCAGT